CCCCCCCCCCCCTTTGCGCCATTAATGTGCAATGATTCATGTGCTGGAGCAGCTTTATTTTTCTGGTGAATCTTAACTATTTACATTCAGTACATTTCACATTCAGGTGGTATTGTGTTGGTGGTTATTAGGTAGGCAATTGCCAGTCTCCCTCGTGATATATACAATATATTGTTGGTGGTATAGAATGTGAATTTGAAAATTCTCATAAATTATTGCCATATCGTTTAATTTCGGCCTCCCTGTCACATGACGGTGTTTGTGATACCCCCTCATACTTTATGACAGTATGTGACTCGTGTTCAAACACCCCGCTACTCTCCAAAACGTCGCATATTTTGTGAACAGCCCCTAACATGCTACTCAGGTATAATATAATTTTGTGTTCCTTTTCTCTGTTAGTGTTGCCACAGAGAATAAGAGTGGACAGGGGAAGTGAAACAGGTATTATGGCAACCATGTATAGCTTTCTTCGCAGCAAAAGAGGTGATTTAGAAGATCCCACCGAGAGTGTCCTTTATGGTCCATCCACGCAAAATAAAATTGAAAGGTGGTGGCGTGAATTGCTGGAACGCATGGAAAAGTTTTTTAAAGTCCAGACTCCAGAGCCTTGTAGAAGATGGGGACTATGACCCAAGTGATGATACTGATAGGTGATTATTTGCATTTTTTATCAATGTTCAGTAAACGACTTGAATAGTTTGCATGTGTGTTGTTCTTAGTCAATGGCAGTGTTTTGATTGCAATAAATTAATGTTGATATTGATTGCAATAAATTAATGTTGATACTTTAATGATTTCATGTGTTGTTGTCAATATGATTATGCAACTAGCTCTCTCAAGGCAACCACAGTTGACCACTGCTGCTGCAGGAATTGTTTTCCATACTGTGAAATATGTTAGGTTATTTGCACTTGACATTATTTTTAATTAACTCTTTAGCATGGACATGTATTTCAATGAACAAGCGAACTTCTAGTTTTTCCATGGTTGTGTATTCTACTCCACATAAATTATGGCAACAAGATACTTGCATTAGTTGGACTCATTGTAATAACCTTGTATTTCTTTTCACAGTATGATATCACCTAAAAAAGGAATCACCCCTTCCTTAAAGAAAGGTTTTAATAATTAACACAAGACATCATAATTGATATGGATGCATACATTCTTTCTTCTTTTAGGAATTTAATAGCATATGTATATATACCTGTTATTCAGAAAGAACTTGACTATTTTCGAATGTCTGTATGGAATAGTCATCGCATACGCAAACAACGAAATAAAGAACTACCTGCAGGTATTCCAGACCATATCTACAGTTGTCTAGAGAAATTTGGTGGTCAAAAGTGTGGTTTTAACTTGACAGATGAAGATCTAGGAGGGGTTGCTGATTTATCAGAGGTTCTTGATGGTACCAATGATTACATTCATCCGGACTTTCGTCATGAATGTGAGCAACATATCCCCAATACAGATGATATTGAACCAGCTCAAGCTGCAAATGCGTTCTTATATTTGAAAGCAAACATTAATGTTAATTAATTTACTATGAATTCGTTCTGTAAATGTTTCAGCCTAATTGCCACTGTTGGGGTTTTCCCGTTCTGTCATCGTAACAAATCTGACTTTTGTTGTGAACTCTTTGAATGAACAGCATGGTTTGTGTTATGTTGTCTTGACTCGATCTAACTCTCAGATTGATCAGGATTGCAAAGTATACCTTGACTATATTTTTATTGTTATTGTACATTGCCACAGAGAAGCTGACTTATTTATATTACATAAACCGGAAGTAACTAACCGGATATGAATATACAACACCCTCCTTTCTTTAAGATATTTTTACAAGTTTTCTTAATTTTAGATAAAAAATTATATTTAGTATTATTTATATATCTCTAGATTGTTTATCTTCAGATTGTTTTTATCAAATGTTCTAATTTATAATTCTAACTAACGGTACTTGTATTAATGCATAAATCTTACCGATCGTGTTCTTATTTACGACTGTTCGATACTAACTACTTATACATTAGGACTGTTCGATACTATCTACTTATACATTGGCCTGCCCGGCTTTTTAATTATACGACCTGAACGTGTTCGAACTTCTGGTCGATCAGGTATCTCAACATTTCTCTTTTCACTTTGGTTATCTTTCACAGCTGCAGGACTTGTTGGTCCAGGTGTCTTCTGAATATCAGGCTTGATTAATTGTCTATTTCTCCGTATTTGAACTCCAGATTCATCCTCTGGAATATAAGAACGAGGAGTTGGTCCAAACCCAACTACTCTCGCTGGACTCCATGTTTTTTTAAGAGGGTCTTGAACTTGTACAGCTTGCTTTTGAAAGAGATTTGGCTTCTCTTTCGAATCCCTGTTATATAGATTGACTTGTTTCTTTTGTTGTGTTAATAATAAGTCTCTGGTTTCGTGCCAATCGTTTGGTGGATGAATCTTTACTGGTAATGTTGTCTTGAACATTCTTCCATTTAGTAGCTCTGCTGGAGATTTGAGTGTTGCACTTAACGGTGTAGAACGTAACGACAGCAATGCCAGACTAGGATCAGTTCCTGATTCTTTGCATTTCAACAGGATCTCTTCTTCACAGTTTGGACATGTCTCTCAATGAAGCCATGTCCCTTTGGGTAGTACGGTGACGAAGTCACCACTCTGAAACCATATCTCCTCGCTAGGTCTTGAAATTGGGCAGAAGTGAATTGCGTTCCATTATCACAAATCAGAGTTTCTGGTATGCCTTGCTCAGAAAATATTGATCTAACCACATTAACTACAGTGGTTGCTGTTAGATTATTCAACTTCTTCACGAATGGAAACTTCGAATAATAGTCAGCGATAACTATGTACCAGAAATTATTTACCTTGAACAGGTCTGCGCTCACAGTGTGCCATGGTCTTGGCGGTACTTCACTTGGAATCATGGGCTCCTTCTGCTGAGAATTCTGGAATTTCTTGCAGGCACAACAGGACGCTACCATACTCTCAATCTCTTTATATATACCAGGTCAATAGACCCAGGATTTTGCGCGGAGTTTGCATTTCTCCATCCCTTGATGATATCAATATCTTCCGCCGGAGTGATTTTGGAACAATTATTCTACTTCCTAATAGTAGAACTCCTTCTTGAATAGAGATATCATCTCGGTTATTCCAGTAAGGCTTTATTGCTTGTTGAGTTTTCTTTATGCTATCAGGCCACCCTTGCATAACTTGCTCGCTGAGGACTTGGAGAGTTCCATCTTTAGCAGTTTCGTTTCTTATCTGTTGGAGCTCAACAGGTGAGAACTCCACTAGGATGAATTTTCACTTGCATTCCAGGGATTTCGTCTCCCTCCCTTGGTGACAGTCTCGAAAGTGTATCTGCTATCACCATCTCTTTGCCTGGCTTATAT